AAAAAAAAAAAAAAAAAAAACATTCTCTGCGTTAATCAAATGACAAGCTCATCGCTGATCATCCCACTAATGCTTACAAAAGGAATCGTGGAGCTGTAGCTGTAAATAGATCACCTTGGTTATTGTGCAGGGTGGGAGACACTGAGACAAGATATTTCTAATGTCACTGTGATAACATTGCTATTGTATCACAGGAACAGAGGGACTTTTCTCAGGAAACCGAGAAAGGAAAGGGAACATTAAAAAAGGTACATATGCGTGTGGTTTGTAGTTTTGTGAGCAAATGCAACAACTGCTACAAAACCTCCGAGAACATAACATGTCATAACATTATTACACAGCAAAACACGGCGCGTACTGTACCTAACAAACTGGAAAAGGGCACCGATCTTTTCGCATGCCCTCCTGAATTGGTGATCACACGCCCATGTGCTCATTTGCATCCCAAATCCAAATTAATTCACTTTGCTAAATCTAGTGCTGCGCCATGTCTTGCATGCTGATGAGCGGCTGGTTGAGTTTTCCCTCCAGTCCTCTGTGCAGCCACAAAGGCTAAAGGCGGCTAACGAACGACGTGCAGGGGCCACGGTATAAAACGGCGAAAACACTGACGCTCAGCGAGGCGTTCTTTATCAGCAGGCAGACACACTTCTGGTTAAAACATGTGCTGCGGGAGAGACATTTTTTACCATCTTTGTGGAGGCAGACGGGACAATAAAGTTGTAGGGACAGATATACAAATGGGGCCTTTTGTGTGGGTAAATAAAGAGTGCTCCCTCCATGACAGGCCAATTCTCGCTTTCCTGCCTGCTTTAGTTCCACATGAACACACCCTTAACCTCTCTCTTAGACACAGCTCATGTGTTTGTGTGTATGTGTGTGTGTGTGTGTGTGTGTACATGTGAGCTCCAGTGTGCATGCATCTTTGGCCGACCCCGTTCACATGGCTGAGAGCTGGTTAACAGGCAAACAGCCATCTTTCTTCCTAATTAACCAATGATATGCGAGGGAGAGGTGGTTTCGGGAGTAGGAGGAGGGGTGTCTCTCTTAACAAAAGGTGCTGATGATGGAGTGGCTGCTGTATAATTAGTGCGTCAGAGCCCTCTCCTCTCCACGCCAAGCCTCCGCTATTAATTGCACCAAATTAGAAAACGATATCTGAGGCAGAATAATTCTTTCAGCTGTCATTTCCAAACAGAAAAGGTGGAATGGTGGAAAAAATAAATAAGAGACAGAATGGGCTCTGTTCAAGAGAAAGGTTAGGAAGAATGGAAGAGGAGCTCTAATCGCTCGCTGCTGAGGAAATATATGCTTTCTTGAGGTTTCCTTTTTGACATCAGTGAGAGGAATGTGTAGTCTTTACTGTACATGGAGAGAAAGGGTGTAGCAGGTGGAGGTTGCGTAAGGAGATGAGGGTTCATCAAAGTTACCTTCCAAGTTGCAGCATTGCGTCTGAAGTAGGCGAATGTGCGTGTGAACCAGCTGTAGATTTCATTAAGCGTTAACTGCATGTCGGCAGAGTCCATGATAGCCTGAAATGAGATGACATCAAATAATGGTTTACTAACGAGACCACGTAACTGACACACACACACACACACACACACACACACACACACACACACACACACACACACACACACACACACACACACATATGGATTGAGAGAGGGGAGAGAGAGCTGCCATGATTCATGCAGCAATTAATTTTAATCTAATCAGGCAAAGTTAATTTATTTCCCACTCACCTGTCTTATGAGGGTTGCATAAGTAAATGGCGGTCTGACATCTGCGTTCTTATAAAACTCGTAGTTTGGGGCAATCTCTGGAAAAATAAATACTGTGTCACCACCTGAAATAATTGGTAAATTTTATTCCTTTAGGTATTGAATTTACTCAAGGTTTCATCAAATTAACAGGGGGGGAGACAAATGGGAGGTGGGGGCGGAACGGTGGGACGATAGGGTAGAGCAATGAATAGAGTCTCTAACAACCACAACGTACGCTCCAGCGCCGCTCGCTATAACCTGCGTATACTACGCCACCTCTCACTCGTTCACTACATACCATCAGAACGAGTCAACTATACACCATCGCCTACAATCAATAATCCCTATACCTTCACCTAATAATAAGTATCTCCCACTATAAATATCGACACAGCACTCCTTCATTAGAGTTATAATCCTCTCTCGGACTCGATCGTGTAACGCGTGCCATAATCGTAAAAAAACATCCATCAAAAGATGAGATCGCGCTCAATAAGCTCTCAGCATTATAGGGTGAGTTGCCATGAATATATGTGTCTTCCACACTAAACACAGAGAGAGTAAATATAAACATCCAAAGACAGACCGTGTGCGTGTAATAAAAGCGCTAAATAATCACTAGGAATGTCTTACATGTAATAAATATTGTATTTTTTTCTCCATTATTTGACTTTAATTAACATCATGTAAAATATTTTATGCGAGCGAAAGGAAGGAATTCTTGTCTATTTTACCATCACTTACGCACCGTGATTAAACACAGGCTTGCTTTTAGAAACCCACCAGACATTTTCACCACTTGCTAAGACCAAACACGTCTTCTGTCGGTGTTCCCCTTGTAGTTTCCACTCCTCTCACCGAGTTGCATGTGTGTCTCCGTCGGACCTGCACATACTCGTCTGTGTGTGTGTTATAAACGTACAAAACCATTATGGGTTGAGACTAATAATAGTGCACGTGCTCAGGGTTGAGGTATCACATGGCCATTGAATTTCAACATTATTTTTTCATTGAATTTAAACAAAGAATTTGGTTTAAATGAAAGAAAAAAAGTCTGAAGTTCACTTTAATCTTAGTCAAATCACTGGCATAACTCAGAAGAGAAGCAAAATGTAATTAACATTAACATTTTAATACACCAACCTCTAAATGATAATACAGTGTGTGTATAAGTGTATCATGTCGTGTGCGTGGGTGTGCGTCTGAGAAATCTGTGTGTGTGCTGTGTGTGTGTGTGTGTGTTGTGTGATTGTGTGTGTAAGGTCAGGCTCAATTTCACATTTCAATTAAGCAATTTAGCTTTCCTCACAATCCAAATAATGAAAACCCTTGATGTTTATCTTTTTTACATATTCACCTGATTTCAGCTTTTGCCGGAAAGTGAATTATCTGCGCACTGAACTGAACACACCTGTTGTATCTGGTTTTTATGTGCCAGGCTGAGTAGTTGGTCCTACCTGACGGACAGAGGCATGAGTATTTGTCGATAGTTGGCGTCTGCGCATGAGCTCCCATGCTGGGGACGTTTGCCTCCTCCCAGTACTGATGCGACCTTGGCATGGCGGCCGAATGGGCGTTGATCGGTGCTGTGGGCGTGCTGGTGTCTGAGGTAAGTTGGGGGTGATGCTCGAGGGCAAATTCTTGGGACATGCGGTTACGCTGCGACCACGCTAGGGGGGTTGAGTGGGGGTGGAGAAGAAGAGTGTGGGCTGAAGAGTGGGAGGAAGACACAAGTAGCAGTGGAGAGGGGATCGGGAGGGTGAGGGAGGGAGGGAGAGAGAGAGAGAGAGAGAGAGAGAGAGGAAGGCATTATTTTGTGGTTTCTCTGACAGAGCCGAGTGTCTGCTCTCCTCTTCTCTAACACAGCTGTGTTTCCACTAACAAGGCTCGTGGAGAGGAGCCAGCCCATCTCCACTAATTACAACCACCAAATTGTATCATAAGAATTCTAATTAGAGCATGCTGTTCAAGATTATCCAACGATCAGCCTCCGTGTTATCCCGGCCCCATCTCTCTTTATCTCTCTATTTATCACTCCCTCCCTCCTTCTCTATCTCCCCCACTACAACCACACATAATTCTGTCAAAACTGAAGCAGTGAGTCGGTGTGCTGCTGGTGTGAATCGGTCGACGTGGGTTACATGACCCTGGTTCAGAACCACAGCCCAGCTTGTTCCTCTTTGAAAGGGTGAACCTAAGTTGCTATAGTGACTGTGGGGTTACTATAGTGACCCTGTTGAAATAGATATTGGCAGCAGCTCCAAGTCATCTCAGGCAAATATCCTGCTATTGCAAGTGGACAGAGCAAGAGTATAGCAGCTGCTTTACTGTAAGTTAACACAACTCCACCTTAACACTGAAGTAACCCTGTAGTTACTATAGAAACCCATTTCATACCAAAGCTCAGCAGTTTTGTCATAGCCATGTTTTACAGACGTTCACTCATTCACACTAACAGCAAAATTCCTGGGTCACTACTTGTGCGTGAAAGTGGTTTTAGAGAGTAGTAGACACCTGGTTCGGAGCTATGCAGAGATAATTATCAATGCAAACTAATTTTTTTAACTCTAAAAGCCTCACTTTATAGGTAGAGTTTGTAGTAATGACTTTGTGGATGACACTTCATCAAATCCACAACACATTATTGCCCCTTATCCAGTGAAAGTTCCAGTGCAAGATAGAGGGTGAAAAGACACTTCAAGTTGAAAAAAAAAAAAAAAAAAAAATCTGCACAGACATTTATGGTGACTCCACACACACCCTCACTCTGTCTTCATCTCCTCCGCTCCTTCAACATTAGGGACCAGAGAGTGTTAGTTACCTCTGGCACGAAAGCCAACTGTGCCCGCTAATCGTCCGGCTTTTCCACCACTTTTGCGCTTGCTTCCCAAATCTCATGTGAGAGGCTCTAACCGACTGGAAAATTCTTAACTGACCTTTTAGTCTCTGCGCTAATTTAGTTGGAATGGTAATGACATCGTTACATATTCAAACGAAATTGCCTTAATTGTGAGTCTACAAGTGGAATGCATCCGTTGCGAGAGTTTGAATTAAAACCGACTTGAAAGATGGAAGGGAATGTGGGGCCGAAGGCAGCGAGAGATGGAGGAGCGAGGGTGAGGAGGAGGTATCAGTGGTCATTTGTGGCATGTGTTGATAAATAGGATAAAATGTCAAGTTTGAGAGACTCCGGTGGATGCAGCGGTTCTCAGATGATAATTATATGCCCACTTAGCTATAATGAGCTGCTACAGTTATAGGCTGGGACGAGTGCTGGTTGTATAGACAGTCCTCTGCAGTACAGAGATTGAGGAAGAGAGTTGAGGGGGTTTATGGAAAGTACATAACCTACATATACATGTGTATCAATCATATCTACCCAAAACAGTAATTTTAATAAAACCATGTACATGTGCTGTAATGTTTTTAGCATTCATTTTCCAAATACAAACTACTAATTAAAGTGAAGCAAAGTCTTCCCTGTCGTGTAAAGTCACTTCCTGTTAACTAATGCCTTCTCTTCTCTTTTGAGAGAAACCACATAAAATACTCCACTAAAATACAAACATCAGATCATTTTCTGCACCACTTGTGCAGATATGGGCCAATCTCCATGTAATGGATCCTGCCACATTTACACAAACCAGACACTGAACTGTGCAAGACCAGCTCACATACTGTAAGGCAGAGAACACCTCAAAATATGATAATTCAATTCAGAATAAATGCCTTCTTGTGTGTATGGGCGTGTATATTTATAATGTTAAAAGATCATTTCCCGTCCTTTTCGCTGCCTCTTCACCTACAAGACACAGCAACAAGCGTAACATGTTTGCAGGCATGCAATCCCATTTTGGCAAAATAGAATTGATGACGGATGGAGGAGAGAGAGGGAAGTGAGCACTTTGCCACCTCTCGCTCATCTGAATACACACTGAAGGTCGGGGAGAGAGAGACAGAGAGCGACAGAGAGGGAGGGAGAGATCTTATTATTCAGAACTTGCAGCTTTGCTAACTTTGATTCTCATCCATCCATAGCATGGCCAAAAGGTAGCATTTAATGAAGTGCGATTCAGAGAATAAATGGTGTTATATTGGAGACAGTGCTTTGTATTCGCCTGGTATTGGTTGGGCTTCACCAATGAACAAAACTAGACTTATTTTCAGCCCTGATAGGCTAACACAGACTATTCATAATCGTCATATGGCCGGGCTGTGTCTATCCTGCACCTGTGATTCTACTGGGTGTAAATGCATGCTACCATTTGAAATCCACTAACTGTCTCCCTTTTGTTATGTCTGTTCTCTTTGGCAGAGGATACACAAGCATGCACGCTCTCCCCTGCACTAAATCTTCATCCTACCTCCCCTGAAAAACCGGGGGAGCCTTAAAACTGAAGACTTAACTGTTCATTTAAGAATTCTGTCTGAATTGCCCCCACCATCAAATGCAATTAGCTGCTCTTTCATGTGTGCTTTATGTAATGCAATACTTCATTAGCATCATTCATTCATATTCAGGCATGGATTATAGGCTGCAAATTCTTTATTGGACGAGATGGAACCAAGCTGCTGGAGTTTTGAAGATTAAAAAAAAAAAAAAGCTACAGAGAGAGAGAGAGAGGAGGAGAGAGAGATTGAATAATAAAAAGGGAGTTTGATTCCTGATGGAATTATGGGATAATTATGCTATCTTGTGATTATCTACATTCTATGATGAGAGGTGATGAGGAAAATTATTCTATTGAAAGTAGGCACTTACTAAGCAGCAGAAACACGCTAACAATGTTTTGCTCTCAAACATTTCAAAACGTTTAAAATTGGGAGAAAATAATGTTTGCAAAAATGTATCATCTTAACATTAAATTCAAATACTGGTTGGGAGAAATGCGTTTATAATCATTCAATCTAAAAGTAAAAGGCACGAGAAATAACATAGAGAATGACATCATTTTCCTTTTCAATGACATCTTTCACGTTTTTGGATTCTTTTTTTTTCTGCAACCAATTTCAGCAGCACTGCGGGTATTTATGTCAACATCACACCATCTTCACCACTCAGCTGTAATTTTCAGGTGTTTGTTGTTAAAATGACATATCTTCTCCTCTTTCATTCCACTTTTGAGTGCCGCTGCGGCCACCGAGCCAAACAGTCATCAGCAGCCAACAGGTTGTTTTGGCTATTATATCTATCACAAAGAAATGACCCTGCGTTTTAGCCAAGGACTCCACCGCTCTGCTATCTAATACACTTCCAAACTCTATTGTCCTCTCACGGCGCACAATACCTGATAAGAAGCAGATGTAACTTGGTATTACAAATCCCATTCTCCCTTTCATCTTCTCTCACTCACTCAAACAACTGCCTGGTTGTTAAACTGTTCATTTTCTGTGTGGGGGCCCACATTCATAGCCGAGGCCTGTTTACGGTGGCCAGAGCAATATGCACTCACTGGTTTGGGAGATGACTTCGGTTCCGAGGGCCGCATGTGCAAGTGGGTCATCATCGCCTGAAGACGCTCACGTTCTTTAGAAAGCTGTTAAGAGAGAAGAAGAAGAGAGTACATTAGAGTAGATTAGAGGAGAGGAGAGGAGAGGAGAGGAGAGGAGACAATAAAAAATATGAGACATGAGATTGGGATGGTACAGTGAAAAGAATGAAAGAAAAGAAAGAAAAGGTTTGATATTAACCAAGTGAAAAAGAGACAACAGTTGTGCTTGTGATGTAAGGAGAGTATGAGGCTGGGGGAGAAGAGGGGAGAGGGTGCAGACAGGTCAGGCAAAACAAATAGCATTTCATCTTTTTGTCAATAGCAGAATTTAGGTCAGCAAAGCTCTGACAGTAACAAGCTACTTGGGCCATAAATTAGGTGGTCCTGAGTGTCTGCTCAAACTCCTGTGGACACTGTTAGGGGGATGGAGCGCAGCCAGCAGCTGCTGAGAGGTGAAGGGGTCTTCCAAACAGGGTGCCAGGCGGCCCCGCCTCCCCGGTCCAGTTAGTGGCCCCAGCCATCGCCTATCATCAATCTAATTCACAGGGAGTGACAGGGACTGGACCATGTGCAAAGGCTCAACCTCCCCCCCCCCACACCCTTAATACACACACACACACACACACACACACACACACACACACACACACAAGGACCAAACATACAGAGAAACAGACAAGCAAGTAGGCGTGCACGCACACGCACACACACACACACACACACACACACACACACACACACACACACACACACACACACACACAAACACACAGAGGTGCACACATACACAGAGCTGGGCCTCATTACGAGTGACGGCTCTCATGGAAAAAAAAAAAGAGGATGGTGGGAGTAAGAAATGAAAGAAAGGGAGAGCAGAGAAGAGACAGGACCGACAACACAAGTGCACCACTGTAATTGGTCACACTGTAAAGAGCAAGCTCCAACAGCTTTGTGTTGCAATGAAAAACAGAACATAAAAAATGAGATCAAATTGAATAAATAACTTGCATCCTTTTTTCTATTTCATTCATTGTTTTACATGCCTTCAGCATTTATTTACTTTTAAGATGTCTAGCAATTTAATACAAACTGTTTATCGGACAAGGAGGAGGAAGGAGGAAAAAGTTGGCTTCATGCAGGCTTTTAGGACTCTGTTTAGACAACTGGACAAGAGATGCCGAGAACACAAGTTACAGCTGAATGTCTTTACAGTGTACATCACACTTGTGCCTGAGTATCAAACCTATTTTAATATAAACTTCATATATTGAGAGGAACTGGTCACCTCTGATCCCAAATAGCATACTGTGCAAAGCCTGAAGAAGCTGGGCTGTTGGTTTCAGTTGGCGGACTGAATATTTCCAGCTGTCACTTTGTTTGAGCCTAATTTAAAACATACATATCTATTTGTTTCTAAAGGAAGAGGAGCGGTTGTCGGCAGTGCTGAGTAATAATGAGAGCGCTCAATCAGCGCTCTCATTATCTAGCCAGCATGACTCCTTAATAAGGTCACGCTCCACCTACTGAAAATAGTTCCCTCCTTTTGAGCTTTCTTCAGGTGCAAAGTGCAGTTAATTAACACAGCAGACCGGGAGAGATGCGCTCGCTATTAATTGGAAAGAAAAAGAGAAAAAAAAAAAGAAAGCAGAGAAAATAAAGCACACGCTTAATTCAATTAAAACAGCCATAATGGCTTTCGTTGTAAGGCCTGAGGATTCCTTTGTTTAGTGGCTTTGTTGAATTCAGCAGGTCCTGCTTGTCTGGAAATATTAAGCAGACCACAGTGCGGCCTTTCTCTCGCTCACACAACTTTCAAAAAATAAAGTTTTGACTAGATGATTGGTGACTTAAATGAGAAAGGAGTTCACTGAAGTAAAATGTGACAATGGCAAAAAATTTAACAACTCACATAGCTTTGTTCCAACTACATACTGAGGTGTTCTTTTTTTTTTATCTAAAAGAAAACTTACTTGTATTTCCAGCTGCTGTACGACTTGCATCTGGACTCGACACTGAGCTGTGCTCCGATCATCGAGGGCATGTTCACTGTTTAGATGCCTGGAGGGACAGACAGAGGGAGAGAGAGGTTACACACCAACTTAGCAAATCTATCAAATATGTCACAGCTAGCAGAGGACAGAATTATTTTTATTTTAACAACAATCAAAATTGTGGAGGATGATAATTACAGTATCAACTTCACCACTGTTTTGTTTTTATGATAATATTTCTATACAGGGACAATTATCTATAGGATCCTGTTAGGGAGCATTGTTCCTCTCTGAAATGAGGTAATTAGAAGTAACATGACGGTGTGTGGCGCCATGTTTAACATGACAATAGGCCTGTGCCAGTTTAGATGGCTAACTTCAGTGCCACCCTGAGCGCTGCTTTCTATGGAGAATAAAAGATGCTAGCCCAGCAGAACGGCTTTGTCTCCTTCGTTTACCGAAAACAATACACACAATTTAACACCAGCAACATTTGACACACAAAAGCAGCTCTTCAGCTGAAGGTGCATTATCTAGCAGCAGACATATTAAATGTATCTGGTGTGTTCGCCTCATTAGAAGAAAAAGGCAGCCAGACAGCCATAACAGTCAATGAGGGTTTTTGTCTTGATTGGATTTTGTCTGTAGGACACAAAAGAGCCTCACCATTAAGATAGACCTTTATTCCAAAGCACACATACACAGACACACACACACAAAAACACAGTACACAAATATGGGGCGAAAA